ATTTCCCCAGCCTCAGAACCACAACATGATTCATTCGTTTGCTGAGACCCACTATATCCACATTTCAGCAAACTGCAGAAGAAAGGAAAGTATGGCAGCGGTAAATGATGCATCTTTAAACTGTCACATTCTTGGACAAAGCTAACACAAGAGCAGCTGAAGGAAACCTGGTAGACTGTAGTTTTCTGGGATTTTTTACTAAGCTTTTGATAAATTTGCTAAGGCTTTTAAAGAAAAACAACAAACAAACCTCAAGATAAGGGACAAAATATTGACATAGATTAAGTGATAGGAAACAAAATGTGGTTGTGAATGAATGCTCTTCAAACTGCTGAAAGGTGAATAATTGAATATACTTGGGATCAATTCTGGGCCTGGGACTAGTTAAAACATTCATTAATGATTAGGAGATTAGACTGGGGGGAGGGATAGCTCAGTGGTTTGAGCATTGGCATGCTGAACCCAGGGTTATAAATTCAATCTATGAGGGGGCCATTTGGGGACTGGTCCTGCTTTGAGCAGGGGGTTGGACTAGATGACCTCCTGAGGTCCCTTCCAACCCTGATATTATATTCTAGGAGGAGGAGGACATGGTCAAGATGGTGGTATCTGCAAATGGATGACCCCAAGGGGTAATTTTCAGACATGCAGCCTCTCTGAAATACATGCTTTATATAAAGCATTTGCAACATCATCAGCATTTAATCACATATATATTGGCTGCTGCCAGATGCAGTTTAACCAGCCTCCCAGCTCCTTCATGGCTGTGGGTTTGTGCAGGCTAATTACTAACCCACATTGCTTCTGAAAATAGCCACTGCAGCCACCTTCAAGGTACTTCCCACAAATGATAATCACACAGGCATCAAAATATTAGGAGTTGGGGGGGGACCAAAGTAGTGTTCATTGTGGGGGAAAACGTGTAATGAGCTGATCGGTCCAGTTGTCCAGGTCTCACTCACCTTGCTGTGGGCATAGACCACAGACCCCAGCAGCTTCCAGGTGCCGCCTCTACGGTCCATTCGTATCATGCGCAATATCTGCAGGAACCGCAAACTCCTGAGAGCCGAGGTGGCAAAGACATTCCCTTGGGATCCCGCTGCCAGAACGGCAATGGAGGCAATCAGCACCATGATGTCTGCAAGGAAGCAGGGCATAAGAGGAAGGATTTCATGGCCTTCACACACCAACCATCACCTCCCCCGGATGGGCTTTTACGAACTGACTCCTCCATCTTTCCTACCTCGGTGGGGGATGAGACGTCAGGCTGGCACTACTCTAGGGTGAGCCCTCGCCTTTGGTCCAGAAATGACCCCTCACACATCACCTCTGTTCTCACCTTCCCTTATCGGCTGGAGCCAGTTTGGTGGAAAGAAATAAAACAATTTTGGTGCCATCAGCCAGGGTCAATGGTGACTCAGCTACTGCCTGACCATGCCAGTTTAGTGATGGATGCGTCTTCCTCAGGCTAAACCCTACAACAGCATCTTTTATCCACCCAGGCCCCCGAGTCTCAGACACCCCACTTCACTGCTCAGTGCTAGGCAGCCACATCCCCCAACTGGCCTCCTGAACACCTCTCTCTCTTCCATGGCTTTCCTATCCCGGTATTCAGGGCATTACACTGCACCCATCTCCATGGGATCTGAGCTCCTAACTCTACAGAGCTGGAGAAAAGAGAACATACCACCTCAAAGATTCCGACAGGTATCAACCGCTAGGAAGCCCATTGGGAATAGGGGTAGGTGCGCGTGTGTGTCTGTTATAAAAATGAGCAATGTGTCTGTCACATCTTATGGAGGAAGTACATGGCCACGTACAACTAATATTAACCCACACTGTGTGATTCACTGCACGGTTTAATGAAATTCACATTCCTCTTCTCCTCACACCTCCTCCACCGGGAGAGAGGTTGCCAAGACTCCAAAGACTGAATTCTGGCTTAAGCCTCTCCAACGTGCATGAGCAGAGGTGCACGATCTTCTTTAGCCAGACAGAGCAGTGTACTGCCGTTTCTAAGGTCCACCTTGACCTGGGAGTTCCCACTGCCCGTCACATTCAGGAAAACCTAAAGGGCTGTGTTTTAGGAAGGCCTGTTTCTGCTACTGATGGAGCAAGGGTGGGTGGGTGGGAGAGTACTAAAAGCACCCACTTTTGCTCAAAGCAAAAGCCTAGGTCTCAATACCCCAGGGCTTTCAAGGCTCTGAAAACCATCATTCAGATCGCTACATGAATTTTGTAGATGCCCCTGGTTTTATAATGGGCTAAACCAAAACCCTGCATACAAACATCCCCAGCTCTGTGAGGGTCAAATCAGGATCGAGATCCAAATGTGGTAGCTTGAGCCCATCTCTAGAAAGCACTGAGAACAAATGCATCCCTTCTCTCCCTGCCCACTTCTGACCCCTCCTCACCCTGTTCAAAAGAACTGCTTTGCCCAGAGACAGCCCCTTCCACCACAGGATCTCAAAGAACTTTACAGCCAATAATGAATTAAGGTTTATAACTCCCTTGTGAGGCAGATAATTACTGTAATATCGGTCTTATGGAAAGGCAAATGGAGATACAGAGTGACTTGTCAGTGAACCAGTGGCAGAGACAGATACAGAACCCCAGACCCTAGCTCCCATGCCCATGTGGTTAGACCACTTCTTCTCTCAGAGGAGACACAAAGGGCCTGATTCTGAACTACAGTTATATTATTGCATCCTTCTCACACCCATGTTGGCACAGAGGGAAGAAACCAATCTCTTCCATCCCCCTCTGTCTTTAGCTGCTCCTTCCATCTGCTCCAGCGTATTGAGATCAGATGTTCTGCCCTCCCTGCTAAGATTTCTCCCGGGCTCCCTGTTTCCTCACACCAGTTGGTTTTCACTTGACAGCTTCATGGAGGAGTCTGTGCGTCCGAAGTACATGCCCCAGATATGGCCAATGCTTCCTTCTAAGTCTAGTGGAGACCAGCTGCAGGTTGGTGAGTTCTCGGATCTCTTTGTGGGTGGTGAAGTCTCTGCATCCTATGCCCTGAATCTTTCCTAGGCACTTGTTTTCAAAGGGATCTAGGTTTCCAGCTAACATTTTAATAAATCTTCAACTCTCTGGGCCGTATGTTGGCTCTGAGCTTACGTTGGAGTGGAAAATCCTCCCTTTTGTTTTGGTGCTGTCTAGGTTTGATTTCCATACACTGCTGAGTTACGTAAATGCTGCGGGTGCCTTTCCTATCCTTGATGTCACTTCTTTCTTGAGGTTTCCGTTGGCTAGTATGGTGCTGCCCAGGTAACTGAGCTGTTCTACTTCCTGGATCTTTTTGCCCTCGGTTACTATTTTACTGCTTGACGTCTGGGTTTCAAAGATATTTGTTTTGGTGTAACTGATTTTGAGCCCGGCTTGGCCTGCTGTTTTTGCTAAGGATTCTATCTCTGTAGCTTTTGAGGGGTATTGCTCAAGCGCATGACATCAACAGCAAAGCCGAGATCGTCTAGGTGTTTGCCATCTACCCGTGCTATGTCGGTGTTTCTGCTGCTAATACAATTCTTCATTATCTAGTCCAAGGCAATGCCAAACAACAGCGGAGATCGAAGGCAGCCCCGTTTCACGCCAGCATCCACACGGAACCACTGTTATCTGGTCGTCCACCCTTCCAGTGCTCTTCGCATTGATGATGGTGATGACTTCAGCGGGAATTCCGTAAGACTGAAGAACATTGCACAACGTCTGCCTACGCAGGCTGTCAAATGCCTTTTGAAAGTCAATGGCATTGATAATACGTTCTAAGCATTGCTCTATGATGGCCCTTAATGTGGATATCTGATACATTATCTGATAATGTGGATACCCAGGATCATTTGGGCCTGAATCCAGCCTCCTCTTCCCTAAGCTTTGCATCCACTGCCTCTTTCATCCTGTATAGCATCTTACTACAGAGGACATGGGGGTCAGCAGCATTCTCTGCTGAGCAGCCACCGTTACTGATTTTGTTTCTATAACCGTGGAGTTTCGGCTTGGTTTGTTTGTTTGTTGTTTATGAGGCTGAGTGATTGGCCTTGCACTCAACTCTCCCCCGCTTTATCTGGGCATGGGAGCGGCAGCCACATCAAAGTGCACTTTATGCCATTCTGAGGCTGTTCTAACTTTATCCGGGACTGGGCAGGGCCCTGCACAGGTCCAGAACAAGAAGAACTCAAAGGTGGGTTGCAACCACCTTTGTCCCCTCTTCCATCCCTGCTCCAAGCATGAGAATGCAGTAGCTCAGAATCAGGCCCAGACATACAATAAGCTCGAATACTCCATGGTGGGCTCACTGTCCTCTAGCTCCCTGTAGGACCTGTACACCAATACTATACGTTCCTCCCAGGGAGGCCTTGGGCCCACTAAGCAAACCAGACAGTTCCCCTTGACCTTGGGAGCCTAGCGGCGGGACTGCCAGGGGTCACATGCCTGGCTGAAAAGCCAGTTGCCTGTTCTGATAACATTTATACGTTCTCCCAAAGAACAGCAAATTCAGCGGTCATCCTGAGCATGACCCACGTGGCCCTTATCCCATTCGTCGTGCACTCTCAGCAGTAGCTGCTGGGCGGCAGTTCTTACCAATGACGCAGAAGGGTTTGCGGGCAAATTTTAACCTTCCCCTCCAGCCCCGGTATCGACAGCAGCAACCGGCAGCCCAGATTCTCACGAAGTATTCCACACCAAACACCACGATGGTGACTATTTCCTGCAGGAGAGACAATGCAATTAGTCCAAGAAGAAGGCGCAGGGAAGAAAGTGTTGCAGATTCAATGCAGAGGGCTGAAACAGCGTCTACTAATAAAGCTCATTTTGTTCCTCACTGTTACAGTCCTTTCAGAGGAGAATTGTGACTCTGACCAAAAAATGGAATCAAGCCACAAAACTGGAATCTGGATCTTGAGTTCTAACAATTCCAAAGAGATGAGATTGTGATGCACGATAAAGATAGAGACTAATTGCTAGAGTCGGGTCAAGGTCCAGGTTCAGCTTTCAAATTCCTCCAAAATTTGGGGGGAGGGGTTGTTATTTAGCACGGGACGCTGTGGTTCAGGTCCATCCCTATTTTGAAACCTTCTCCCTCATTTCAAAGTTGATCTTTCTCTTGGCAAGACAGTTTTAGCTCTGTAGGGAGACAAAAGTTTAGCTCTGTCACAGAACTGGCGGTTTCCTATTTTTGTCCCTATTGATGGACTTCAGGACCCGAGGGAGGTGGTGGAGGAAAGAGAATTATGAGCTGGATTCTTAAGAGCTCAATCCCTTGGGCAGTGAGCAATTCTGAAAAATCTGGGGACAAGGGTCACAATGGGAGCAGCTGGAAGGTGAGCACCTTACGTCCTTAGTTCGGTGTCTAAGTGGGAGCTGAGATCTTCTGAAAATCTGGCCCAACTGTCAGTGCTGAGCAATTGAAAGTCTGGTCCTAAGCCCCTTGGAAAGTCTGGGCCTGTGTTCTTCTGTGTCTAAATATATTTCTATCGGTTTCTGAACTCTAATGGGTTTACCCAAACTACCTAAAAATCCACACCAGTCTCGACTGAGTTCCTACCCTGTTCCAACAGCCTTCTGCCTCGCCAGCTGAGGAGACACTTCACTATTGACCTGCCGTTTGTACCAACACGCAGTTGCTTTTCTCCCCACAAACAGAGATACAGAGGAAATGAGCCCACCATGCTGCCAAGCTCCGCTCACTGTCAGTATGTTACAATCTCTCTGATTTCTTCACTCGCGGGGTTCACCTCACGCGGGCTGACGCTGAGTCGTACAGGGCTCTCTTTAAGCTTTCACTAACTTCTGGTATCTGGTTGATGTGCGGAGTGGGAGTGGAGGAAGGGAAAGGCAAAGACAGGGAGATGCGATGAATTCTGGGTGCCCTATGAAGTAAGCATCTGTGCCGACAGGAATTCTGCTAGCTATCACTCAGCACGTTACCGGAAGCCAAATTGTCAGTGTAAGGCATGCCAAGCTATTTAAGTAGTAAAACCATTCGGCTTTATGTCAGCTCAGATAAATGCAGAACTGTATAACACGGGGAACAGAGGCTACCACCTGGGCTGATTCTGCTGTGGTACAATGTCAGCTTAGCCGTTTAGGGCCACACGTTTAAACGGCCATCAAACCAGCTTCTAAATGCGGGCCTACCATGCTGCGGGATTTTGCAATTGCAGAGAAACACACACGCCCACAAATTGAACATGCACCAGTTCGGGTTTTTAAAGTCATCCTTGAGACTGTGAGCCACGTTCTTTCCTTGTTTACACTGGGGCAAATCCAGATCACTTCAGATTTACACTCAGTGTAAATAAGAATTGATTTCAGCCCTGTGAGTGCTGGCTAAATGCCGTGCTATTGTTACCCAGACCTAACGCAGAGACAAGAAAAATCAAAGATGATTCCAAATGAACCAGGTGGCACCAGAAGCTAATACACCAGCTTAGATTTTGAGCCATATTTGTCTTTCGCCTTAAGAGAAAGTGGTTATTGCTGGATCGTCAGGATTTTTACAGGTTAATACAAATACTCCCCAGTCCTTCCAAGGGGTCTTACTCTTAGGTGCTTGCTTTTAAAGATTTACCTGGCTTTGGGTTGGACGGCATGTCAAATCCAGACAAATGTTTGCAGAGACTCATAGACTCATAGACTCTAAGGTCAGAAGGGACCATTATGATCATCTAGTCTGACCTCCCGCATGATGCGGGCCACAAAAGCTGACCCACCCACTCCTGGAATAATTCTCTCCCTTGACTCAGTTGTTGAAGTCCCCAAATCATGATTTAAAGACTTCAAATCGCTGAGAATCCTCCAGCAAGCGACCCCTGCCCCATGCTGCGGAGGAAAGCGAAAAACCTCCAGGGCCTCTGTCAATCTACCCTGGAAGAAAATTCCTTCCAACCCCAAATATGGCGAGAAAATACTTATCCCTCACTTAGAAGGCTGAATCTCTCCATGCCCCAGTGATGTCTCAGCCAGTTCTCAGACATAGCCTCTGCCCCATCCATCCTGAACACCGCAGCTCAAATGCTTGCCATGTTTGAAAAGCCCAATATTGTTTGTTTCTTGCTCGTGCTCTGTCTTATGATTGCAACTCCCAACTTACCAGTATGTAGAGGGCCCCTTCAGAGCTGTCCTGATACTCATCGATGGTTGAAAAGACGGATAGTACCAGGCAGGAGAAAACTAGGAGAAAACTGGATGACACAAAGAAAAGGAGAGAAAAAATAATGCCAATCTTTAGAGTAGTTCATCGAGCTATTTAACCTATATCACATTTTGAAACATTCCACACAATGCTATTTTAACAGCACTGTCACTCTTTATAAAAGCGGTCTCTAGCAGATCGTCAGTGGAATATTTGACCTGTGCTCCCCAGGCATTCTAAAATCGATAAGTCATTTATGAAATCCCGTAGTTTGTTGCAAGCGTGCAAACTGAGCAGAATGTGGCTCCACAAAATATGATCAGAGTTCTCATTTAACAGCTATTAGAAAAGTGTGTGCACTGGGTCATTTCCCAATTACTTCACTTTACTTGACCAAATGAAATTGTTGCAAGTTTTGATAGCAATTGCATGGAAACTAACTGTGAAATGAGTGCATATCACCACTGTAGATGCCAGGCAAATATATTTCCATATATATTCCCATAGTCATTAAGTACTCCTGCACAATTTCTCAGTTATTATATTACTCACAAATCCATTCAAAAGCTCTGCCATGTCACATGTTGTTTTTAGCTCTCCAAAGAGAACTTCAGTTTAGGAAACAAACAAAAAAATGACCTCTGATTAACCTCTGATTAATTTTTTAAGGCCAAATAGGCCTGTGCAGAAGGGTAAATTTGGCTCTTAAAATTCAATACTGTTCTCAGGTATGCCAGTATAGACCCAGTTTCATCCCACTGAAGTGAACGGAGTAACTCCAGATTCACACCAGCCTCAATGAGAGCAGACTACGGACCTCAACCTATCCCTGAGTAGCTCAGTATTTACAGCATGGGGAGAACAGGTTTGGGTGGGACTGGAGAATAAACAGTCAAAATTTGCACTTATCCCTTGAACTGAATTCAAACCTTTTCCCCCATGTTTGCTTTTGGCAACTGTTCAAACAAATGTTAGAATGCACACAATACTACTGAAAATATTATGATGCCATTACATAATTCAATCGTACACCTTCATTGTGAATACTGTGTTCAGGTCTGGGCACCCCATTCCAAAATAGGTACAGCAGAAACGGCATGAAAAGATTTCCAGTGACTGGAAAAGATTAGGGTTGCTTAGTTTATCATGTCATTCCTCATTAGCCTCCTCTCTAAAGGTATATGATATAAACACTCTAGAGAAGGTAAATCCGGTGTTCCCATTTACCCTTTTCCAGGTCACCAGTAGAAGTGGATATGCAATTAAACTGAATTGCAACAAATTTAAAATTGATAGAGATTATTATTAATATGATGCAAATTTAACCTGTGGAATTCACTGCCACATGATATTACCGAGACCAGCAGCTTTACAGGATTCAAATAAACATTATATTTGTACATGGAAAAATAGGAGCATACATTTAAATTAGGATAAAAAATATAAGGGATATCAATCCTCACAGATCAGGGCATAAGCAAATCAGTAAGTGATGAGAGTCACAAAGAAATTTCCCTAGGACAAGTTATCTTATAGTTGGTCCATTACTCTGGATTCTGAAACATCTGGTCTTGGCCACCATCAGAGACAGACTATTCTATCTATCTGTCTTAGGGTTCTCTACTGCTAATAGTATCTGAGCGCCTACTATTATTAAGGCTGAATATTGGATTCCATGTTCACTGCTCTGATATGGGATGGCAGTTCCTGTGTTCCTATGGTGGAAAAAGTTCCAGCCTTCCTCTCTTCCAAAATAGATACCTCTCTTTCTTCACAGCCTTCCAGTAACATTAAAGGGAACCATGTGGCTAAATCCTTGCATCTTGCACTGAATATTTAACGCTGAATCTTACTTTAGCACACGTCTCTGTCCTGTTTGCTTTTCACTGGGGAGTGAACTTTCTCTCTGTGAAAATGAAGAATTAATCTCGCTGTCTGGCAGCAGGCTTGGTGCCATGCCTCGGGGAGGAGGAGAAAAGTACTAGGCTAATGATGGAGAAACCTTACCCTAGAGGTGTCACAATTCATTAACCCCACTGAGACAGCCCCACAAACCCCTGGGAAACTAAAGGGATGGGAGAGTTAAAAGGCCAAAGGTACTGGGAGACTATGGGGCAAAACACACACTCCACTTTCAGGCTAAAACATTAGCAAGCCACTAATAATTCAAAGGCGTTTAATGGCAACCTCATGCTTTGTACGGCCCGTACATGTTGGTAAGTCAGCACTAATGTAGAAATTACAAATACCCGCCAGCCTTTTGAAGAGAGCATTTTACCATAATCCAATTCCCATATGCCCGGCCCTTTTGACTTTCCCTACGGCCATTCTTTCCTCTATGCAATCCCTAAAGGATGGCAAACATGCGGCATGCAAATCACCAGCCACAACAGAGCAGGTAGAAATATTCTGCATCTTACGGCAGCAGCTACTTCCAACAGACCTATCAATAGGCTAACTCCTCATCAGGGCACAGGAGGTCTTTTTTAGGTCACTCTCCATTTTTTGTTTGCAAATTCTATTTGGCCTGTAGGCACTGTATTATAACTGGATAATGTATAATATATATTAGCTATCTACAGAAACTACTGATATTATTGTGATGTATGTGTATTGCAACAGCGCCTAGGAACGCCAATCTCAGAGCAATGCCCCATTGTGCTAAGTGCAGGTGCTGTACAGACATGTTTCAAGGAAGACAGCCCTTACCCTGGCCAGCTCACAACCTGAATGACAGACTGGATTCAACATGTGGAAGAAACAGACAAGCTGAGTGGGGGGAAGATAAGGTGACAATAAAAATAATTTATCAGAAAAGATACCACCTGGTGCCTTTTTATATAGAGACTAGAAATGAGAAACTAGGGTGAAAATACACCATTCAAAATAATGTCAAGAGGGTTTTTTAAAATGGTGAGGAATCGTTAATATGAATATGACTCAGTAGAGTACAGCATCTTTCTCTGAAAGAGCTTAACGCATTTTACAAACATTCATGAATTAATCCTCCGTGTGAGAGAAGGGTAGTGTTATTGCCAGTGTTCATGGGGTAAACTGAGGCACAAAGGGGTTATATCAGCAGTTCTCAAACAGGGGGTCGGGACCCCTCAGGGAGTCGCGAGGTTATTACATGGAGGGTCGCGAGCTGTCAGCCTCCACCCCAAACCCTGCTTTGCCTCCAGCATTTATAATGGGGTTAAATATATAAAAACGTATTTTTAATTTTTGGGGGGGAGGGTTGCATTCAGAGGCTTGCTATGTGAAAGGGGTCACCAGAACAAAAGTTTGAGAACTACTGAGTTGTATGATTGTCACCTATCAACATCATTAGTGATACTACCCAGGAGTCCTGCATCAAAATCCAAGTCTGTAACTACTAGACACCATTTCCCCCATAACATTAATTGAATATCTAGGTTTATCTACAAAACCTAAAGATGACTACTCTGTATTTGTACAGTACCTAACACAATCTGGTGCCATTCTTGGTTGGCCCTTAGCCACTACCATAATAAACATGATTAATTAATTAACAAGTGTAAAAATAGCACTTTGGGCAAAGCCTACAAATGCTAAAACCCAGGGCAAAACTCCCATTTACTTCAATGAGATCTGGAGTTGGTCTTCTGATACTCAATTAGCCTTGTCAGAGAGATCTAGCGGGATTGTGGAATGTTCAAGGGATGAGGTTAAGAAGCTGCAGATATGGTGCTGTCAATAAAGCAGTCTCATGAGTCCTCCTCCCCATCTCACACGCACTGCAAAGGAATGGAGGATCTTTGTCATCCCTCCTGGAGAATGCAAAGATTAATAAGCCAAATGGAGGATCACAGCTGATGACGTCTTAGCTGGAGAAGACGGCTGCTATGTTTTCATTTGCACTGTGAAAGTGAGGGGCTGACTGCACTGGCTTTAGCAAGGCATATTACCGGGAGGCATTGTACTAGCTTCTTCCACAGTGCTGTCCAAAACTCTCAGTCCTGACCTAGAACACAACCTGTTTAACCCAGTCCTACGCCTCCCCTGAGTAAAGAACGCTGGCCGTGCATAACTGAATAGTGGAGCGCCAACCACTAGAGGCAGGGACAAGAACACCAGTAAACTCATCCCTGGGGTAACCTCATTGACTTCACTGGACTACTTGCTTTTTAAACATGTTCAGAATGCGGGTGCAGATCTCTCCGTTCAGAGGCTCAGTCAACCTGCCCTGTGCACTGCTTCATCCAGCATCTCTGTTGCGTTCCATGAAAATTATGGGTGAGGTTTTCAAAAGCACCTAAATGATTTAAGAGAGCATGGATGGCCCAGTAGTTGGGGCACTAGCCTATGTCTTGAGAGACCTGGGTTTTAGTCCCTGCTCTGCCACAGACTTCCTGTGTGACCTTGACTAAGTCCCTTAGCCTTTCTGTGCCTCAGGTCCCCATCTGGAAAATGGGAGCAATCGCATTGCTCTGCATCCCAGGGGCATCATGTGCATCAATACATTAAAGACTGTGATGGGCTCTGGTGACGGGGGCCATGTGACTACCTGAAGTCGACAGTCATCCCATTGGCTTTCACTGGGACTCGTGTTCTTAATGCAATTAAGCACTTCTGAAAATCCTGCCGCGTCTGGATTCTCTGAGATGGGTGGTACTGAGATAAGGAGCATTTTACCACTCAGCCTCCAGTTTAGATCCAGCCCACAGCAGCGAGAAGTATTATCAAGTGAATAGTATTACCATCCAGTGGCTCTTTGGTGGCCTAGGGGAAACAAGGTGATCTCCGTCTAATCCCTAGTGGTCAAACACCTACAAATCCAAAATCTACTCTTAGGATTGGCATCCTCACAGCACTCTTAGCAGAGAAAAGCCAGGGACTAACAGAGCCCTGGTTCCAGCAATCTTGTCACCCACGGATCCGTGGCTAAAGGCAGGACTTCAGTCTCCAAGGCTTTCTGTTTTGTACTTTTTTCAAGTACTAGATGCACTAAAACCAATTAAAAGACAGAAAGAGAAGGACCCTGACTCTATTGCCTGAGGCCATAATGAAATCTTAGGCTATTTGGAA